CGGGCAAGAATATTGCTTTCAGCTGCCATTTCTTAGTATTGTATATTTTATAGAGGGTAAATTTCAAATGTTAGGGGGGCCGGGGCTCGGTAGCGACGCCCATGAACACCGCAGTTCGAATATGTACATATGTACATATATATGAATGTATGTATGCGCATGTATGCGAGTAAATACATACATACATACATGTTTCTACGTGTTCTTCGTTGTCATGGCGTCACGCTGCAAATAAATACCTATAACAAGATGTCCTGATGAGTTTAAAACGAGCATGCGGTTTTGTACGTGATAATTTCTTAATTTGATCATCTACATTCACATATCTATTTACGTATGCATGTACCCAGTGGGTAAAGGTTATGCAAAGTAATCAAAAAATAATTATTAGTAGGGCGGTTTTCACATTCAAAATCGCATTTTTTCCCCCGCGTAGATGTCCAAAAATGTGTGGCATTCTGTTTTGCATTACGATGTAGAGGAAAAAATATACTTTGTTTTAACTTTCGTAATGATTTTTTATATGTATTTTTCCGGATGCATTTAATTATACATACATTGTAAACTTTGTATAACTTATTCATAAATAATATAATAGGTTTAAAGAACTTTATAAAATGAAGTTTTCATATATTTTTCAGTTTAAAAACATTTTTTAAAGCTACTTTACCTGTATGAATAAGGCCATTAGTTTTTACATTCATTACAACCACATATATTCATATTTTTATATATATAAACAAAAGTAGCATCAAAACGAATATTTAAGTTAATTCATTCTTCAAGTTATGTAAAAAGTAAAACATACAACAACGTTTACTGCTGCTGGATCTCTGCGTCTCGTCGAATTCGTGCTTGTAACAGCGAATCTTGGCCATTTTAATTGCCATCTCTATATCATTGGCAAATTTCCAATGGGTGGAATGGGTCGTCTTTTTCAAGGCAATCTGAAATAAGTTATAAATATACATATGTACATATGTATGTATATTTTCGTGGCATATATCCCACTGGCAAAATATGTAAGCACCTTACGAGGTAAGCCATGTTTTCTTTCAGTCTTTAATAGAAAAATTGTTATCATGACCAGTGCAATCTACTAGTAAAACACAAAATGAACACCCCCGATGACGCAGTACGTTGTCAGTTGCAAAATAACGCGCAGCCAAAGTTATTGAAGTGAAACTTCTTTAGCGGCGGTTGGTTGGTTGGCAGTAAATTGGCAAATTCAACGGAAATGATGCAACGGAAATGGTTGGGGCTGAAACAAGTACTTCTTGTGCGTATGCATATGGTATTAATTTAACAAAAATTTGCTAATAAAAGGTTAAAGAATAACACTTAGAAATAGACCAATACAAGAATGAAAGTAAAGAAGAGTACGTACATATGTGGATAAAGATACGGATAAAGCAAAGGTAAAAATAAAAATAAAAACAAAGATGCGTAAAGATATAGGCAAAAACGAAGACCAAGTTAATTTAAACACTTTACTTATATAACGGCAAATGTGAAGGGGAATTGTAGATGAATACAAAATGATAAACATAAAAGTAAAGACAAAGAGGAGGATGAGGATACCGATAAAAGTAAAGATGAAGATAGGGGAAGAAAGATTAAAATAAAGGTACTTAAAGAGGAAAGGTTATAGTGAGAGACACAGAGACTCAATCTGGGAACTATTTTGGGATTTTAGAGATTTTCGGGATTCTCGAGACTTATCGATAAAATAATCGATATTTTTATCGGTTTTGTTATCGATATTTATCGATTTTGTTATCATTATTTACCGATTTTGTTATCGGTATTCATCGATTTTGCTATCGATATTTATCGACTTTGTTAGCGATATTAATCGAATTGGTTATCGATATTTATCGATTTTGTTATCGATATTTATCGAGTTTGATATCGATATTTATCGATTTTGTTATCGATATTTATCGAGTTTGATATCGATATTTATCGATTTTGTTATCGATATTAATCGAGTTTGATATCGATATTTATCGATATTGTTACCTATACTCATCGACATTTATAGATTTTGTTATGAATTTTTTTATCGATATTTATTGATTTTGTTATCAATATCTATCGATTTTATTATCGATATTTATCGATTTTTTATCGATATTTATAGATTCATCGATTTTTTTATCGATATTTGACGATTTTGTTATCGATTTTCTTATCGATATTTATCGATTTTGTTGTCCATATTTATCGATTTTGTTATCGATATTTATAGATTTTGTTATGAATTTTGTTATCGATATTTATCGATATCTATCGATTTTATTACCGATGTTTATCGACTTTTTATCGATATTTATAGATTCATCGATTTGTTGTCGATATTTTTATAGATTTATATTTTAAAGATATAGAATTTGTCATGGATTTTGCTATCAATATTTTTATCGGTTTTGTTATCGATATTTTGTTAGGTGTTACTATCGATTTTGTTATCGATAGAGGGTAAAGATAAAAATTAATATAAAGGAAAACAGAATAAACTAAATTTAATTCGAACGAACAGGAGTAGAGGTAGGGATCTAGATAGAAAAACGATAAAAAATATAACCTTAAGCAAAAGCAGATGAATGTATGTATGTACATATTTATGTATATTGTTTATGAGAAAAAGACATACGTAACGTAAGTTTCACTTCGCCAGTGTGGCCCAGGCGCATTTACTTTTTTTCCAAGCGCCGAACTACTCCGAGCGACTGCTCTGCACTCTACGTAACTTACTTTGTAAAGCGGCTCAGAAGTATGTCTGATACCAAATGTACATTCCAAATTCCTACTTACAAAGGCGGTCACGTCTTTGTTAAAGTAAGGAAGAATCGTCAGTGAAGTGGTAAGGACCCCCGGGTGAAGTGTAAGTTGTTGGTAAGGTTTTGCACTTCACCCGACGGTCCTTACCACTTCCCTGCCGAATCTCACTTACTTTAACAAAGGCGTGGTCGCCTTATAACTTCGGCTGCCCGTTATTTTGCCACTGACAACGCAATGTGTCGTCGGAGGTGTTCATTTTGTGCTTTACTAGTAGATGACATTGGTCATGATGACAATTTGGTACTAAAAACTGAAAGAAAACATGGTTTACCTCGAAATGTACTTACCTATTTTCTCAGTGAGACCGTGTGCTTGGGGCCAAAAACAGAATATATAGGTACTTACCGAACAGAATATAATTGAAATTTGCGTGGCTTTTTTTGCCTTTTATGCCCATTGAAAAATTTGAATAATGTCAGCACTTTCCCGTAAAATGGAGTTAATCGTTGATTTCTGAAAGAAGAAATAAAGTAGAAAACATATTTGAACTGATTTGTGTGAGTCTAAAACAATCGAATTAAATATCTTACAAAAGTATTACCATTTTCTGCCATGTTGCTTTCAATTTCTTATAAGCGTTCAACCGAATTAATAGGAAAGTACAGTGCCTTATCTTCAACTTTCCATAAAAGTTCGAGGCTCACTTTGCTTGCCCTTCTTTCAATTTATCAATATATTCGTTACATTTTAGAACTAGGCCTTTGAAGAGAAAAAAATTTATTGAAATTGGCATGAAATAAAAATACTACTAAATACTTCAATTTAAAGTTGAATTTACTTGATAGATATTTTATCTCCTCTTCTTAATTTTTGTTTGCGTTTTTCATACTTTGGCTGGAAATTTACATACTTATATAAATAAGAGTAAAATTATGTACTGGCTTGGAATGCAAAACATGTTTTAGCGCTAAGTGGCAAACATATTAGGGCTATTCGCGATTCGGTGCATAAGAACTGACAAATTTATGCAATTGCAGAAATATGCCATGGATTGTGAGCGACCTTTATTAAACTGTCATGGCAAAGCTTTTGCAAAACAATTTTTGTGCATCAGCTTTGGTTTTGTTTATGAATGCAATGCATAGCATTTTTATGCTATGGATTTTCGGTATTGCAAATTTGCCAAGCCATGACAAATGCAAATGAGTGTATTTTGTTTTTGTATTGCAAATAATTTGCAATACAAATTTGCAATGCAATGATGCTAGGCCATTTGCACCGGATCGCGAATAGCCCTATTAATTTATTCCACGCTTTCCGAAACAAAAGTCGCTAAAACTTCCATAGATTTCAATGGCTCTTCATTATACCCGAGCGCACTTGTGCACAAGGGTATATTAATTTTGTTCACATAACGGTTGTTTGTAACAGCTAAAACGAATCGAGATATATATAGACAAATGTATACATAAATGATCAGGATGAAAAAAGAAATTGATTAAGCCATGTCTGTCTGTCCGTCCGTCTGTCCGTCCGTCCGTGTACACGATAACTCGAGCAAAAATTGAGATATCTCAACGAAATTTGGTATGTAGGTTTCCCTTAATCCAAGGTAGGTTGGTATTGAAAATGGGCGAAATCGGACTTTAACCACGCCCACTTCCCATATAACGGTAATTTCCAGAAATATGAAAACTGCGATATTTTAGTAACTACTGGAGATTATTCACTAAAAATTGATATTTATAATAAGTTTTAGACGAAAAATAAGAATATTAAAAATTTTTGAAAATAGGCGTAGCCACGCCCACTTATGGTTACATGTGTATATCTTGGTAACCGCTGCACCAATTTCTTCCAAACTTGGCACAGTTGTTAAGCTTGGCACAACATACCAAATGGCCGAAAATTTTTAAAATCGCTCAATAACCACGCCTACTTCCCATATAACGGTAATTTTCAGAAATACGAAAACTGCGATATTTTAGTAACTACTGGAGATTATTCACTCAAAATTGATATTTATAATAAGTTTTAGACGAAAAATAAGAATATTAAAAATTTTTGGAAAATGGGCGTAGCCACGCCCACTTATGGTTACATGTGTATATCTTGGTAACCGCTGCACCAATTTCTTCCAAACTTGGCACAGTTGTTAGCCTTGCCACAACATACCAAATGGCCGAAAATTTTTAAAATCGCCCAATAACCACGCCTACTTCCCATATAACAGTAATTTTCAGAAATACGAAAACTGCGATATTTTAGTAACTACTGGA